AGATTGAGAGCCAGAGAGGTTAAGAAGATTAAGTTGATAGAAGGATTTTTCAGTGGCCCTGTTGCGCCTTCCCTGGGCTGATCTTTATCAGATCTGAGGGTACTAAACCCTACTTTAACAATCTGAAACCCTCAAACCAATCCACAACCCTCACTTCAGGACCCTAGCTCTCACTTATCACAGTTACCTCCATATCCTTGTTTGTCCTAATATCATGCTTATGGGGAGTAGGGTGCGCTTGTACCCTTCTTGTGACAGGGTCTTCTCCTTCTCCACTATCAACACTATTATTGCAAAAGAACAAAAGACTACCATTGGAACTCCCTTTTCCCATCCCATAACTCCCCCTCTTCCCCCCACCCATCCACCCATCCACCACATACACATTACATCGCCAGTGACCTCATCAAACAAATGCTGAAGTGGGCCTGTCTCCATAGCAACGAGCCAATGAAAGGTAGGGATGAGGATGCTGAACCAGGAAGTGGGACCTGGCAGGCAGTAGGGGCAGAGAGGCTCTACTGAGCAAACAAACAGCACTGGGAAGGCAGAAGTCAACTGACAAATCTGTTTTCTATATGTAAAGAGTCTTCCTTAAAAGAAATACGCTGTGAAAATTCCCCTTTAGCCAAATAAATAATACACACACACATAGAAAAAAAAAAACTGGGAGAAAAAAAAGCCCAGTTAGTTAAACTGAAAAATAAGAAGCTTGGGTTCTAGCACCTCTGGGCAAGTCTAAGGCATATATAGCTTTTTGTCTCCTTTCAAAAGGCAAGTTTTGGGAGGGAGAGGGGAAAATGGCCCCAGCACTGTCTCTTCAGAGATCTGGAAACAGGATGACAGGGATCACTTCCGGGTTACATCTGCCTGGAGGAGTAGGCCAATAGGCCACCATTATTGACCCTCTGTCCTTAGCAGTGGACATCTTTCTAATGGAACCCCAATGGTCATATAAGTTGCTGTTTCATCTGACTTCTCCATGCCTTGATTCTTATTCTCACTCCCCAGATGGTCCTCATGGGGCACATATGAATTGGACCTTCCTGATGGTTCTTCAGGTACCACCCAGGCTCAGAGAAGAGACCTCTACTTCACAGGGGAACTTATTAAAGCTCTGTTTTCAGATTAATGCCCAGCTATCAGATTTTCAGAGCTTATTAATGCTCAGCTTTCAGGCTATGCCCACCCTAAGAGAAAGTGAAAGGAATTAAAATGAAAGATTCACGTTGGGCCTGAGTTATTCACAATAATTTTTTTTACCTTTATCAAAAGAGTCAGACAATTCAGCTTAATACATTCCAAATGGAGAGAACTACTCTCTGAGATGGATAGAAAGAAGAAAGGAAGGAAGAAAGGAAGGAAAGAAAGAAGGAAGGAAGGAAGAGAGGAAAGGAAGAAGAAAGGGAGGGAGGAAGGAAGGAAGAAAAGAAGGAAGGAAGGGAGGAAAGAATGAAGGGAAGGAGGAAGGAAGGAAAGAAGAAAGCAAGGAAGGAAGGGAAAAAGGAATGAAGGAAGGAGGGAGGGAGGGAGGAAGGAAGGAAGGGAGGCAGAAAAGAAGGGAGGAAGGAAGAGAGGAAAGAAGGGAGGAAGAAAGGAAGGAAGAGAGGAAAGGAGGAAGGAAGGAAGAGAGCAAGAGAGGAAAGGAAGAAGAAAGGGAGGAAGGAAGGAAAGAAGGGAGGGAGGAAAGGAGGAAAGAAGAAACAAAGGAAGGAAAGAAGGGAGAGAGGAAGGAAGAATGAAGGAAGGAAGGAAAGAAGGAAGCAAGGAAGAGAGGGTGGGAGGGAGCAAGAAAGGAAGGAAGAAAGGAAGAGAGGAAAGGAGGAAGGAAGGATGAAGAAGAGGAAAGGAAGAACAAAGGGGGGAAGGAAGGAAAGAAAGAAGGAAGGAAGGAAGGGAAGGAAGGAAAGAAAGAAAGAAGGAAGGAAGGGAAGGAGGGAGGGAGAGAAGAAAGGAGGAAGGAAGAAACAAAGGAAGGAAGGGAGAGAGGGAGAAAAGAAGGAAGGAAGGAAAGAAGGAAAGAAGGGAGGGAGGCAGGGGGAAAGGAGGAAGGAAGGAAGGAAGAAAGGGAGGAAGGAAGAGAGGAAAGGAAAAAGAAAGAGAGGAAAGAAGTAAAGAAGGAAGGAAGGGAGGGAGGAAAGAATGAAGAAAAGAAGTTTTATGAAGTGTTTACTATCTGCAAATTACTACACTAATCTCTGGAGATAGAAATAGAAAGATAGTCTCTGATCTCAAGGAGACCATATTCTAATAAGGAAAACAACACATTGACAGTTCTGAGCCCCCTCCATTCCTTTGACATTAATTGTTTGTTCTATTTGAAAGTTTCCCAGTCTTCCAATTCCACATCTACACCTAGGCATCCAACCATTCCTGGAAACTGGACTGTAAAGCTGGACTTATTCTCTCCCACAAATTGGCTCTTGCATTTCTGTCAATGAGTAGTTTCCCTGTTTTCCTAAGTTCAAAACCTTAGAGATCTCTTTACTCTTTCCCTCTCCACCTCCTACATCAGATCAGTCCCCAGGCTCTGCAGATTCTTCCTTACCAGTGGCCCTGGAAGTTTTTTCTTCCCTTCCCACTGTTGCCACTTCTTAGTCCAGGTTTTTATCACTTCATGCTTAGTTATTGGAATAACCTCTAAATAATCTCCTGCTTGTCGTCTCTCCTTCTCCTCTCCAGCCTGTATAGCAAAATCAAAGGAATATTTCTTAAACATAACTTTCATCACACCATCCCTTTATTCACAAGCCTTTCATGGCTCCCTGTTCCTTTAAGATAAAAGTATTCCACGCCCCCATTCAATGCCTTCCACAATGTAGCTCTAATTTATCTTTCCAACCTTATCTCCAACATACACCCTCTCTCCAGTCACACTGGTCTACCCACTGGCCAGCCAACATGCCTTCCATCTTCGCTCATGATGTTTCCCCCTCTCCTCCAATTCTGCAGAATTCCCTCTTGTACAATTCACATTGCCATCCATCCTTTTTATAGAATCGTAGAAGTGGAAGGGACCTTAAATATTATCTAGTCTAACTCCCTTATTTTAATATATGAGAAGACTCATCACATCACAATGGGGTGGAAGATAAAGTAACTTTTGCAAGGTCCCTCAGCTCAATTGCTCATATTAATTCCAAGGAGCTGGAGTATGTGCAGCGGTCACGCCCTAGTAAAACCATCTCAGCAGATGGGTTAAACCAGTTTGACGGTGACTGACAGAGCTCAGACTCGTCAGTGAGTTAGGGGGATGTTTACCCCAAGCATGTGAAGACTCCCCCGGTGGAAGGGGCAGAGAAGAATGAATTGTTCCAATGACCATAAAGGCAGCTGAAGCAGCACTGTGGAGCCCGTAGAGCTCAGTCAAGCATCAGGGATGCCAAAGTTGTCCACTGCATCTTGGGACATCACTAGTCATCTTAATTTTTGTCTTGCCACTGGACTTTGAAAGAGAGAGTGAGGCTGATGACTTTGTGCAATTATGTCTCATTTAAATCCAATTCATGCCCCGAGTCAAGACATCACCCTGTGATGTCATTGGTCCTCTTCAAAAATGAAGGATGCACAACAATGACATTACTTCACTCAAAGAAGTGTTTATTGAACTTCTACTATATGCAACAGAGACAACAGGATCTAGTAGATTGAGGGCTGGCCTTGGAATCCCAAAGACCCTTAGATAACTAGTGTGGTATGGTGGGACAGATAGAATTCTAGCCCAGTTCCCTTCTTGGAGATAATCAAGAGAAGAAGAAAGCACCTAGCCATAACCCCTCTCTGCTTCACACAAAGGAGAAAATCACAATCTTTCTTAGAGAGGGATGGGGCACAGCCTCCTTCGGATATCTATCGATGCCACATGCAAGCTAAGCCATCTTCATATTACATGGTCCAATCATACATGTATCTTACACTAAATCCAGTGGTTTTTTCCTCATCCTTCTGGACCTCTCTGTGGTTGACAATGCTGATCACTCCCTTCCTTCTGGATATTTTCTCTTCCTTGGATTTTCGTGACACTACTCTGTCCTGGTTGTCTTCTCTCCTGGCTGACTAATCCTTCTCATTCTCTTTTGTAGAATAACATCCATGTCTCATCCACCTAGTATGAGTGTACAGGTCTCTGTCTTGGAGACAGAAGACAGCTAAGTAGTGGATAGAATGTTGCCCTTGGAGTCCAGAAGACTTGAGTTCAAATCCTCAGTCAAATACTTAATAGCTAAGTGACTCTCAAGTCTATGGCTCAGTTTCTCCATC